TTGATAGAATTGCCAGTTCTTCTGAATTCTGGAAAATTTCCAATTGGATTGTTTAAGATAAAGCAATCTTGAAAGTGGATTGATAGAATTGGGTCATAAAGCACTTAATGGGAGCCATTTGTTTTTTCTTCTTTGATGCAGTGGCAAGGCATTGCTGGTAGAGTATGTAAGGAGCAGCAAAGGCAGTGAATACAATCTGGGTCTGGAGAAGAGGGTGCTGAAACAGGGGTTGAAAGTGTAGGGTTGGGACAAGTCTCAATAATTGATGGGTCTGGAGAAGATACTTCCATGGAAGTTGCAGCCAACAAGGTTGTTGTGGTCGATGTGTTGAACAAGGTAGACAACAATGGGGTGATCGTGGGGGAGGACAGCAATAAAGATAATAATTTGGAGTGTACAGAAAAGTGAAAGGTAATACAGGCTCAAATGAGAGAGAAATTTGAGGGAGGGGGGTAGGGAGGTGACAATGAAGAAACAAGGTGATGATAACTTTGTGGTTGACTATGAAGTTCTGGAGCAGGAAGATCTAAGTGCAGATAGGGCAAAAATGAAGACATTTCTTCAAACACTCCTGCAGTGGTGATAAGCCTGACAAAGGATTGTGATGTGGGTGTACATGGGGAGGATTAAACATAAGGTGTTGAATATGATAGTCAGTATAAAGGGAAGTCTGGCTATAATATTGAAATTAGTAAATTGTGTGTTCATTTGGGTTGGGGGGGGGGTGATTTTCAGAATGCTGCTTTAGAACATGCTGTTAAGGGCCTGCGAATAGGATCTCGTCACAGGTCGGTTAACGGGGAAAACTTCGTGTTTTCCCTTGTTTCTCCCTTTTCTCGAGGAACCTATCTTTAGCGCCTTTATGGTGATTTGTTAAAGAGATCACCAACTCTCCTCTGCTCTTTCTTGACTGAAATTATGGATATATTTATTGAATAACATCTGCTCCTTAAATAGGAATTACAAGAGTCCTTCTTAAGGAAACTTTCTAAAAAGGGACTTTCTAAAAAACATTAGGAAACGTTCTAAAAAGAAACTTTCTAAAAAAACATTAAGAAACTTTCTAAAAGACATAGGAAATAATAATGCTACTGCCTAATTAATAGGAACACTGAATTTAGCTAAGAGATAAGATAGGAACACTGAATCTAGCTAAGAGATAAGATAGGAACACTGAATCTAGCTAAGAGATAAGATAAGATAGGAACACTAAATCTAACGCCCATTACTTCTGTTGTCTGCGGCTATATTCCTTTCCAACAAAAGCATCCACAATATTACTCCCCTCCTGGACTAAGAGCTTGTCCTCAAGCTCGAATTCAGGATAGGTGTCTTGAAACACAATCAAAGGAATCCAGGTAGCTTCAGCCAATGGTAAGCTGGCTCATTCCACTAGAACCTCAACAACACCTTGATTCATTCTGGAACGAACAATAGACTGAGGTTGGGGAATGATTTTGCCCTCCTAGATCGGGCTCCAATGAAGAGGGTTCATCCTCATCTTCCTCTTGTTCCACCAGGAGGCAGAAAAGTCTCTTGCACTTGTGCCCTACTGAGTGAAGTTCATCACAATTAAAACACTGCCTCGCCCTATCTCAACCCTGGACAAGTGCTTAATAGGGGGTGCAAGAACGTTGCTTCCCGCACTGGATGCCGGTCTAGAATTGTTGCTCGTCTGTGGTTTCTATTCTTGGCTGGCTGCTGAAGATGGAGCCATTCCGAGTGGTTTCGGGGCTGCCCATGTTGTTTGAGGCCGCCCTATACTGATACTTTCGCGGTTGAGTTGCAATTTGCATTCAAAAGCGCGAGCCAGATTCATAGCAGTAACCAGATTGGGGGGATTTTGCATCTCCACATCAACCCTCAAAGTTTCTGCTAACCCCGCGGTGAACATGTCAACCTGTTGGTCTGGTCGTACCGAAGATGCTCTTGCAAGGAGGATCTGAAACTGACGCTGATACTCAGCCACAGTTCCAGTCTGTTTGAGGTTGATTAGTTCGCCTAATGGATTGCTTGTTAATGGGGGCCCAAATCTGAGAAGGCAGTAGGATTTGAATTGGGTCCAACTGAGCCCAGGTTCCTCCTGCTCCAATTTATAAAACCAGAGCTGCGCCTCCTCAATCATGTGGAATGCGACTAAGCCTACCTTGTCTTTGTCCTCTGTCCGTTGGTTGCGGAAGAACTGCTCACATTTGTATAGCCATCCCAAAGGATCTCCAGCTCCATTATAGGAAGGAAATTCCAGCCTGTTGTATTTGGGAATGATCGCGGTTCCCTGGGCAACGACCTGCTGCTCGCCGGATGATTCTGCCATGTCTGGTCGGCAGCCGTCTGTGGTTGCAGCCCCTTTTGAACTCTTTTCCTTGTTGGAAAAATATAACTCCATCAAGCACCTCAATTCTCGGACGTCGTCCTTGATCTCGCGCACCTCCTTACTGTTTTCCACGAGTTTGTGTTCCAGATCATGAACCCTAGTCTTCAATTGCTCAAAGTCACCCATGATGCCTTGCTCTGATACCAAATTGTTAAGGGCCCGCGAATAGGATCTCGTCATAGGTCGGTTAACGGGGAAAACTTCTTGTTTTCCCTTGTTTCTCCCTTTTCTCGAGGAACCTATCTTTARCGCCTTTATGGTGATTTGTTAAAGAGATCACCAACTCTCCTCTGCTCTTTCTTGACTGAAATTATCGATAGTTTTATTGAATAACATCTGCTCCTTTAAATAGGAATTACAAGAGTCCTTCGTAAGGAAACTTTCTAAAAAATATTAAGAAACTTTCTAAAAGACATAGGAAATAATAATGCTACTGCCTAATTAATAGGAACACTGAATTTAGCTAAGAGATAAGATAGGAACACTGAATCTAGCTAAGAGATAAGATAAGAACGGAACACTGAATCTAACGCCCATTACTGCTGCTGTCTGCGGCTGTATTCCTTTCCAACAAAAGCATCCACAATACCTGCTTATATTGGTCTAGAGGATTCATACATTATTAAAGTTAATTTGGGCCAGGGGGGTACTAATGGTTGCATGAAAATTGAATCACGGAACAAAAACATCAGAACCTGATTCATCATCATCATCATTATCATCTAAGCCTTGTTATTTCCAGGCTCAAAGGTGGTTTTTGTGGTGTTGGGCAGTGGAAAAAGGTCAAAAGGATTTGAGGAAGAAGATTATGAATATTCTGCATAAAAAAGTAATGTTGCAAAATAAGTAAAGCTGAATTCTTCTATTGATTTGCAAGGTGCCAACTGGCTGGTTGGTAAGGTCTCCTGCTGGTTGTAGCGGAGACTTGGGATCGAATCCTGCCTGCACCTGGGTTGGGGGGGGGGGTTATTGGTTGGGGGATGGGCTACCCCCTGTTGTGTAGCCCGTGGAGCAAAAAAAGAATTCCTCTATTGATACTCCACTGTAAGGGAAGTAGCAGATTTTGTTAAACGTAGATGAATACAGAAAGCATGACTTAGTTGAAGGGGAAAGACTTAGAAGTGATCATGACAAGATTTCCTGGACCTCTTATCATTCAACATAAGATTTAATGGACAAGATGCAAGAGATACATGGTCCATCAATGGAAATGCTTTGAAGAAGAGAAAGGAGTCAAGAATATCATCAGTCAATTATGAAAAGTAATGTTGGGAAAATGAGGTTGGAGAATGTTCAGAAGTTGAGGAGAAACTAGAGCAAGATGAAGAGGGGGGGGGAGCAATTTATAATGTATATATAATAGATAAGAAGGAAGACTTAAGAAGGGTGTTGGAAAAAGAAAGTTGAGGTGGGTTTGAAGCTGGGTTTGTTCTTTTTAGTGGTGAGGAGTCTGCTAGAAAAGTGTTTATGGAATTACAGGAGAAAGAAAAAATTTAATGTTCTTAAATTCTATTTAGATAGTTCTAAAAATGTAGCTAGAGATGAGTTTGGATGAGCAATTAATTGGAGAGACTATAGAGAGTGTAGAATTGTTGGTTGGTTGATTTGGATGGATGAGAAGAGGGGATATGTTAAAGGGAAAAAAGAGATGAGAAAGGGTGATCTTTTGTTCAAAAAGATGATTCATAAGATTAGAAGATTTTTGGATTTCTGGCAGGCATAGAAACTACTGAAGTGGTAAGGTAGGAACCAGGAAGTAGGGGAAGAATCTATGAGCTTGAGAGGAGCGTCGGAGCATCATGGTCTGATTGTTGTTTCTTGGTTTAATTGGGTGTTGAGTAGTTTTTTGAAGGCAAATGCTCAGTTTTCTTCTTTTTTGTGGTCATTTTGTTTAATTTGTGCTTAATTGTGTTTACGTCTTTTGTTTGGCGATTTCTTATCACCACTTCTTGCATTATCCTTTTTATATTTTAATAATTTCTATTTTACTACAAAAAAAAGATGTAACAATCTTGAGATGGATGCACTGTAAAAGATTAAGATGTTGATCTTGAAGAAGGTGTGAAAAGAAGCAAAATAAATAAATAAATGATAAAAGAGTAAGGTTCTAGGAAGGAATTTGCAGGAGGTTTATGTGGAATTGTGGATGGAAATAAGTAGTTTAATCAGTCATTTTTAGGATAAAAGAAAACAAGTATGAAAATACAAGCATTGCTTTGAATTTTCTTTGTGAGAGTTTATATGAACATGTATAGACTTGCCTTTTAGAGAGGATCACCAAAAAGTAAGATTAGATGAAAGTCTCAAGTTAGTTTTCAATGATTGGTTGTGGGCTGATCTAAACCATAGACGATGAGATGTTCATCCTGGAGGTCATGAATATATTCTCTCCAAGCACATGGAAATCCTGCACTGCCTATGCTAGAGGAAAACCATCCAGACAAATAATGCATGTCCTCCCTATTTCCAAGTACAAAGGAAGCTGGTAATCTTTTGACAATAAAGAGATAACAGTATAGGCACATTGGATAACTCTAGCTTAAGTTGACCAATTGCTTTATCTCCTACTTGAATTTAATGATTTTATAATTGACTGTACTAATGGTTCTGATTTCCATTGTACCAGGTATCTCTCTAAGCATGGACCAGGTAATCTCTCTCTCTCTCTCTCTCTCTCTCTCTCTCTATATATATATATATATATATTTGAATGACCTTTTCTTTTGCATTCTGCAGTGGAAAATTCTTCGGGATCATGTAGATGAAATTGACGACGCAGTTGCTGAAAATTCTTGAAACAGTTGGAGAAGGTATGGTTATACCCAAGGAAATGGGAAGAATGTAGCTTAAAGACATGGGTATGAAAGTTATGTGGATAATTTGTAATTACATAGCAAGTAATTGTACTCGCTAACTGGATCAAGCTGCTTTTGTGTAATGTAGTTATCTTGCGGGGCAACTAAGGACTTGCTTTTATGTCTAAGAAATCAAGCTGCTCGCCAGTTAGGGGCTTGATTTTAGATGCATCACTACTGATTGCTGTATTATTCCCTAAGAAATTGATTGAGAAATGTGCTAAACAGATCAAATGGTTACTAATGAAACCACATGCTTTCATGGATATCTGTATAGAATTAAGAGCCCATTATCTGATAGGTTTAACTGTTTAAGAGAATAAGAGCTACCATCTTGCTTGGGTTTTGATGTTTGTGGTATTTCAACTTAAGCCCTCTTTTGCCCCGTCAGCAAAAACGCTTTGATAGTTTGCCAACAAGCCTTTATGAATTATGATTCGTCTTGAAATCTCCATTCTTATCTACAAGAGACAGTCTGTTCATCACTACTAACTGAAGCAAGGAACAATTAATTGACTGCCCAGAGGATGGACTTAGGCTGCGTTTGGGAATGCTTCTCTGAAGGGCTTTTTGTGCTTGTTGCATTGCAAAAGCTAAAAGCCAATCAAAAGAAGCGGGAAAAAAAACTCCATTTGGCTTAAGCTGGGGACCCGAACTCAGAACTTATAGTTTACATTGTTATTAATGATTTGTCCATTGGCCGACTAGCCCAATGGGCTTGCTCAGTCCGGCCCGTTTTGAGGCATTTGATCTTAGGCTCAGGTTGTAAGTGCTAGGCCTAATTATTTTTTGGGTTAGGCTGGACTTTTTAAATTAGTTTGGACTGAATTCGTGCCTAACCCGAAAATAACTTTGTATATTGTATGTGATGTTTTTTTAAGGTGCATATTTGTATCTTCGGCAGCAACATTTTTTATGTACAAAATGCAAGGTTCAAAGTGTCGTAAGAAAGGTAATTTTAAGAGACATTGAGATATATTTTGGAAATGTATAGATACAGAAGAAAAATGAAGATACGTATATATGTTAGAAAATCCAAAAAAAAAATTATTAAAAAATATTAATAACAATAAAAATGAGTTTTGTTATTATAAGTTTATAACTAATTTATTTAAACATAAAAATAAGGTTCTAAATATTGACACACTTGATACGCTAGTGGGGACGTATCGGGTAGTATTGGTAACTTTTTTTTTATTTTTTTCAAAACCAGTTCAGGGGGTCGGTTTTAGTCTCCTCTACCCCTTGAACCGGTCAGAACCCCGATACACCCTTTGTAGGGGCGTATTGGGTGCTCCCGAAATGATACATACTGGACAATATGGGCCGATATGTGTTGATATTTTGAACATTGCATAAAAACCATACTTTAATGATTTATATACAGTATCGAGACATAATTAATAACCATTAAAAATAATAGAACTAAAATGTATGTGTGTATATATATACTAATATTTATTATATATATTTAGAGAGAGAGATTTAAATAATATTTATTATGTATATAAGTTAATATATATACCTTGTTTTTTAATAAATAAATATAATTGATACTAATCTTATTATTATATAAATTTTAATAATCAAATTTTAGCATTTGTTGGAAAACATCTACCAAGACAAGAAAGATACAGTCGTATTTGGCAAGTCTTTCCGTGTGGGCTTCGGGTTGTTTAGAAGCTTGGAAGCCTAAATTTTGGGTTTTTTTTTTCTGTTTGGCAATGGAAAAATCTATTGGAAAAAAGCTCTAGCCCATGAGAAATGTCAATAACCTGAATTTGGGCTTTTTCAGGAAGCTTCAAATGAAGTTTTTACAATCTTTTAGCATCCTGTTTTCTTCGAACGTGTGGCACAATGCACACGCTTGGAAGAAAATGTGTTATCTTTTCACAAAAAAACTATTTGAATGTGTAAGTGGGACCTACCAATGATGTGGGGCCCACCTTGAAAAATGCATGTGGGTCCCACATACATGTCTACACATGGACTCACATGCGTGTCCACCAATGACATGTGGGGCCCACCATGAAAAATGTATGTGAGCCCCTCATACATATCCACACATGGACCCCATATAAATGTCCACCAGTGGTATGTTGGGCCCACCTTGTAAAATGTATATATGCCCCACATACATGTCTACTAATGGTGTGTGGAGCCCACCTTGCTAAATGTATGTGGGCCCAACCTATATGTCCACACATGGACTCCACATGCATGTCCACCAATAGAATGTCGGGCCCACCTTGTAAAATATATATACGCCCCACATACATGTCCACCGATGGTTTGTGAGGTCCACCTTAGTAAATGTATGTGGATCCCACGTGTTAAATAAAATGTTTGTTAGCCTACATACAAAACATTCATATATACATAACACACATTTTTATCATATTATGAGATTTATGAAAAATATTTCAATTAAAGTCTTTGATCTTTTAAGATCTATTTACAAAACTTCACCCTGCCTTTTAAGTATCAGATCTTATAACAGATCTTTTGGAAAAGACTTGCCAAACAAGCATTTCTTTAAGCATAAAAAATTACGGTGGTATGATAAATAATTAATGTTGTAATAGTGGTTAATCAATTATTGTCATGATCAAATGACTAGGGTTCTGGAAGACGGTCCATCTTTATAAAAAGAAGACGTGCACGTTCGCATGCTTTACTTTCGTCGAAGAAAACAAAACACCTTTTCCGCCGGATGGAAACTGCAAAGCTCTATTCCTATTAAGTAACATTTGTCTCTTTTCCACCTATTAAGCAACTAAAAGCTCTATTCCTTAATTGGGTCCTTTGATTTTGACTGATCAAAGCAATCAGACAGAGAGAAGGAAACGAACAAATGAGGAACAAGAGAAGTGGGAGAAAATTTCATACAACGAGTGGCTTCTTTAAAATTATATTTGGTTTGAAGGAAAATGTAGGGAAATGAAGGAAAAGGTATGGAAACCTTTACAAATCTTGTACTGGTTTTCCTGTCTTTCCCTTCCTTTCCTTACCTCCTTCAAACCACAAACATAGCCTAAAGGTGATTGTTTAGCATTAAAACTTGAACCAGGCTTCTTCTCTACCTAGGCCAAGAGTTCAGTTCTATGGGAAAATGGGGCCATGAGGAACAGGTTTAGGTCTCTGTCCATTGAACCTGAAATAGGGCAACGTAAAGCCCAGTATTTGTCATATTTATTGTTTTGCAAAAAAGAAATTTTGGAGGAAAAAAATGAAAAATATGGCAGGGTTGAAGGTCTTCCTGTTCCTGACCCAATAAAAAATAACAATTATTAAATTTTAATCCCTTAAATCATTTCTTACTATTTAAACCCGTGTCTTTTATTGATTGTGTATGTATTTTTGGTTTCAAAACTGAAACCAAAAACATAAACATGTTTTTAGAGAACTTAAGTTAAAAAACATGACTTGTTTTTAGAAACAAAATCATCTTCATCTTGTTTTCACTTTTTAATACAAAAACAATATTAAAAGACTTATTTGTTTTGACAATTATAAAACAAATGAAAACAAAAACATTCATTAATTTTTGGTGTGCTTTTGAGGAAGGTTATTTTTTTTTTTTACTTCATAAATTTATACAAATTGAGCAAGCCAACATATGTTTCTGATGTGGCCCATCTGCATGGTCCATTCTTGAGCTTCCAGTCCCCTAATAGAATGCCCAAGGAGCTCTCCAATTACTTGGACTGATCCAGCAATCGACCCAACCAACTAGTTTGCTGGACACCTCTAGCATGCTTTGATCTTGATTAGGGCTGCAAGTCGGGCCAGGTTAGGTCTGGTTGAGGCCAACCCTATCCCAACTCTAGCCCAACTCCAAGTTCTAAACCCCCAACCCGACGTTCAACCCTGATCTACCCAATCCTAACCCTAACTAAATTCTTTCAACCCTAACCCAATCCAACCCAATTTGAAACCAACTTCAGGTTGGGACCAACCCAACCTTCTTCCCATCCCTTAAAATCTCATAAAACTATTTGATCTCAATTTTTTTTATCAATAACAGAAATATTTATTGAATTCAATTAAGAATAAGTTATAGAAAAGAAGAGATGGGTAAACTATCTTAACTCCCCCAAAACAAAGAAAAGAAAAGGCATTCACCCCTTGTTTAGCCAGCACATCAACAAAGGAATTTGCAGTTCTTTTCACCCAGTTGTACTTTATCTCAACATCCCTTGCCAACCAGTTGAACTTTAACTAATCTTATCTTCCTTTAACTAATTTACCACTACCTCCGTATCACCTTTAATAATTAGTCTCCTAATATTCAGTTCTCTTGTCCTTTGAATCCCTTCCAAGGCTGCTAAAATCTCAACACTAAGAGAGTCATCCTCACCAATCGGGCTAAAGAAAAGGGCTAATGCACCCCCTTCCTCATTTCTGAAAATTCTCCCAATACCTGATGGCCCTGGATTCTCAATACTCAAATCCTAACTCAATTTTCAATATATATATTAATCCTATGTTTTATTAGTATTTGTTTGTTGATGTTTTTATTGGTTTTTTTTAGTATACAATTCAGAAAAAATAAGTATTTGAAATGACTATAGTTTATTATAAGTTATGACTTATGATAGATCTTTTATGGGTGACAAACATTAAAGAGGAGGTGAAAAATAAAATATTCAAAAAACATAAAATATGTTATTAAGATTTTAGTCTTTTCATTTGAGATTAAGTGAAGTGATTATCAAGGATTGCAACTCCATAATGAACACAACACCTCCTCTAACAGATAAGGAATCCCTAAAAAATGTACACACAATTAGTTTTATCCTTACTCTCACTTCATCCTTTGCTTTCCTTTCCGATCAACCTTCTTGGTTCGGCCTAACAACCTCATATTCACATACTGACTTAAGCATCAGAGAGTTCTTCATCTAGACCATATCTTGGGGCCCTTTCTATCTCTTGTAGGTGTTTTTGGAAGCAACTTGATTCACCCAATGTCCTTGGCTCGTCGGATTTCTATTTCAAATGCATTCAAGCATTATCTGCGTTAGAACTTTTGTGGATTATGGAGTTATAAAATATCAGTAAGCTTATAACATTTCTTAACTATTTTATTGAATGGAAATGTTTACTCACCCAAATCCCAGCTCCGAGAGAGAAGAGAGTTTTGACTAATTCTTGAGAGAGAGATGTTTGACAATGACTGCCACTCATTTAAAAACATTTTTTGTAACAAAAAAATGTTTTGAGATGATTTAATCCTTGTAAAAAAAAAAAAGAAAAAGAATTGAATTGATGGAAAAAATAGAAAACATTGTTTTGATGTGTGAATTGCCCACCTTACTACATTATTTGGATCAATATTACCTCT